ATCCCAGAGAAAGTAACTGTAAATACAGAACCTTCCCTGGGAGGTCCCCTCACCATGTACAGGAATCTACGTCAGGGGGCTGACAATGTAGTTACAATTTCATCTTCCAACACACAGGCAAATTGAATAAGTAAGGCCTCCAATTAAGTTATAACAATGCCAGTACTGACAGAAATAGTTACATCAGAAAGAATGTCACAGCAAGATTAACAATATAAACACGAACAAGCAGGTTTAAATTATGGCAGAAAAGCAGAGCTTATGTAAGATCCCTTTATGGTTGTACATTAAGTCACATGGAAGGTTGGAGAGTGGGAAATTATGGGTGATATATGCTTTTAATGCAAAAATAAGATTAAGAAATTCTTAGTCACATGTTTGTAGAAGTATGAGTTCAAACTCAACAAGGAAAAACTTTCTGTATTTTAGAGGTACATCTACCCAATTTGAAATTGCTTTATTTCATGTTTGTTACTAACCCATTACAGAAATGGTGTGTTAATGTCACAGGGATTCTTATTTGTTTGAATTATTTCTTCTCACACATACTACAGAACATTTATTCATTCATTTTATTTATAAACAGTTTTTATGAAATGTTAAGTTAACTGAAACATACAAGTATGCTGTCCTTCTTTCCCCCAAAGCAAATTTTGCAGCTGTTTGGCTGATAGGAAACAAATAAAACAAATTGGAAATTATTCTGACCATTTTTCCTTAATTTATAGGTAAAATGAGTAAAAATCATTTAAAAGAGTCCAAAAAAAACCTTTAATACAATTATCTTTTCATGAAACCAGAAAAACAAGTCTTTGTCAGCCAGTTTGCGCAAAACCTAAGGATTTTTCACTAATTATTAGTATAGTCAGTGGCATATGTAGGTTTTCATATACTTTAGCTGTCCAAGTCTTTACGGTCAAAATATCTTTGAATTCAGATAATATTCCTTTGGCTTTCTTAGCATTTTATTTATGTTGATTACTAAGTTTTCATGTGCAATTTCAGTGAACACCTCCCATATAGCCTAAGTGCACATTTGTTACTTTGCACACTAATTGACTGTTACACCTTAATATATTTTATTTGTGGTGTGTCAAAAATTATATATATATATATAATTTTTAACACGTTACAATTGGCATTTTCATATTATCAATGTGAGAAAGGAAATACATTTAACCCTTTCTCAGCAGGGTCTTGTAAAATACACGACCCCATCTGGGGAATGATATGAGTGCAACAATACATACTGTAACTCTAAGATTTAACGTATCCTCGCAAAAACTGGTAAGAGTTTGTCAAAGATTGTAAATATCTTGTACACAAAGAATGAGATTATTTTAACAAAGTATTTCTATTAAAAATATGTTATTTATATATATTGTAATTATTTGCTGTCAAACTGTTCAAATAGTTCAAGTGCAAGGTTATTTTCATTTTAGGTATAAAAATACTTTTCTTCATCTTATAGTTATCATATTTCAGTTGCTTAACCTCTAGAACCTCCTAAATGAGTAACAAAAGTTTTTTTAAGGTAAATGCTTATATTTCATTTTTTATACCATATCACTAACTCTAGCTATTATCATCAACATACAATGCAACAAAATGATGAAAATTACGAAATATAAAAAATACATATCTTTTAATTTTCTTTTGTTAAATTTGTAATTTCAGGTCTTTTCCTTTATATATATAGTTAATTTTTATTTTCCTTTATTGTCCTTTACCATTTATTACTCATCTCCGCACCATTTAGCAGAGCAGCGTGGGGGGAGTGGGGGAAGAGGCTTAATTACATTATCTTCAGCAGAGATGCACAAGCAAAATTATTTTTCCCTTGCACAAGCCTTAAGCCTTGAGAACTGATCCAAAGTAAGATGCATATTTAAAAAATGTTTAAACCTTTCAATTATGCATTTTGAAATATAAACAATACATAATTAACTAAGATATAAAAGTCAGACTAAAATAGAATTTAACTGTCACTCTAACTATAACATACTTAGCTATGAAAAAAGTGTAAGTGTTATCGGGGATCAAGGCCAACAATACTACAGGCTTAATACTACAATACTCAGAATACATCGACAAAATAAATGACATCCTATCCGATAAAAATAAATTCAAAGCCATCCCAAACAACCCAACAAATACACACGAAAAACAACTAAACAGAACTTTATTACAAATGAAAAAAGATAATTTAATTGCTTATGATCTTTATTTTTATCTACGTAAAACTGATTTACGCACACCACAACTCTATGGCCTTCCTAAACCACAAAAACAGGACTGCCCCCTACGGCCTATACTGTCCACTTATGATTCATTCAACTACAATCTTGGCAAATACATAGCCTGGGCTTTTACACCATATGTAACATCTGTAGGTTCATTTTTTAAAGATGCCTTCAATTTCAAATATACATTAGCACAACTAAATTTGAAAGCCTTAATGGCCAGTTTTGATGTTGTGTCACTCTTCACCAAAGTCCCTGCCAATGAAGCTTTCAATATTGCACTCGACTTCTACATTAATAGCCCCAACAAGTTAATGCACATCCCTAGCACACTTTTTTGGTTCTCTCTTATAATTTACAACGACTAAAACCAACTTCATTTTCAACAACGAACATTTCCTTCAAATAGATGGTTTAAGTATGGGCAATCCTGTTTCGCCCGTTCTTGCCAATATTTTTATGACTCAGATCGAAACACAAGCCATACATTCTGCACTTCATCCCCCACTATACTGGTACAGATATGTTGATGACACTTTTGCTGGTTTCACTTCTACAGAACACACACTAACTTTCTTTGAACACATAAATTCCATTCATTTCAACATCAAATTTACCAGAGAACACGAAAACAATAAACAGTTCTCTTTTCTTAACCTCAAAATTATTAGATTGGACACACAGTTTAAAACCAAAATTCACCACAAGAACACACACACACACACACACTGGCCTCTACATCCCCTGGAATGCTGCTCATGACACCACACAAAAAATCAACACACTTAAAAAACTCATAAACACAGCCACAAGACTCTGTTCAATGGACTACATAAATGAAGAAATTAACCACATAAAGCATTATTTCATTCACACCAATAAATTTCCACGAACAAAATTGATACTAACAAACCAAACAACATAACATTACACTGCAGTTTACCTTTTGTTCCTGAAACCAGCTCAAGAATTATCCACACTTGGATAAAACTAGCCATTAAACACAATATTCCTGTCAACGTCAAATTCTCACAAAAACCCGGCCCTAAATTAAAATCAATACTATACAAAAATGATTTAGAATCACACAATACCAATGTCATTTACAAAATAACATGCAATAACTGCCAAGAATTCTACATCCGAGAAACAGGAAGAAAACTGGAAACCAGATTTACAGAACACAATAGTAAACTGTCCCATGTTTTTCACAATTGCAACTTAAAAAAACCATAGTATATCTATTAAAAACACAGTAATTTTAAACAAAAACAAACGAAAAATCAAGGAATCCATCTTAATTGAACAAAACAACCCTACTCTTAACCAACACCCTGGGGTGCCGAGATACCTCTTCTAAGTTTTGCAACAGTATCCAGTCATGTGACCTCTTTGTTCAATACTGTATATATATATATATATTTATATATATATCTGTGTCAGTGTAAACTACTTGTACGTGATAATGACAAAACCCTGTCGAAACATTGTACATTTGCTGTTATGTTAAACTTATATTAAAGTTTTTCTTCATTACCCATTCAAGCTGTCTTCAAGCATTATCAATACTATAGTCTGTTACATCTACCACATGACAACTGCTGGCCAATTTCAAAATTATTATGGTGGATTATAGTGTAAAATAAGCTATTCCTAATGATTATATACATGTATATCTAGCAACTGCATGTATTATGAGCTGAAGCAAAAGTATAGATGGTGGGCACTGCACCTATCAGGAGTTGAAAAAATTTATTACTTGTTTCTACTCCATTCTGCTAAAGAACTTTGAAACTTACATGTCAGTAGGCCAAGTAAACATACTTAATTGTCTAGACATACATCTACAGGGCTTGTGCTATCTCAGTCAAGACAGAAAGTGTGAAAGTTGATATTTATCATAGCTCATGAGTTACATGACAAAATAAAATTGAAGTTTAAGTGTTTTCTAAAGGTTTCTTTGGAAATAAAGGAAGTTAAACTTAGATAACATAAAACTTTGAATATAATATACTTTATAATGTTAATTTCATTTACATAGATTGATTGTAAAGTTGTTTAATCAAATTTTGAATATAACTCAGTGACTTACATAGAAAAGTGTTTAAAGGGGGTAGCCATTGAGAAAGAGTTAATGTGGTAACCTGTGAAATATTTGATTATAGGGGGTAGCCAGATATGCTTTTTATAAACCTTAAAGAGACTCAAGAGTTAGGACATGTGAGCATAGTTCCACTTCTCAATCACAACATTTTTAATGGGGGGTACTAGTTCCCTCCTGTGGCTCCCCTCTTTTCATTCCCACTGTTATTTTAATGAACAATTATCCATACAGGACTAACTGATAAAATTATGCACATTTCGCTAAGTATTACACATAAAATATAATATTTTACTCTAAATACAATTAAGAAGTTTTAGAGGTTATGCAAATTAAATTTAAAAACTTTAAAATGTAAAAAGTATTTTCAATCTTAACATTAAAATCAGACGAGTCAAAGTCTGAGTCTGACTCCATAAATTCACTGACAAATCTTTAGTAAAAACACTTAATTACAAAATCTGATTTTTTGTGTATAAAAGAATTGTACAAAAGTTTGCCAAATTTCATGAAGATACATTTACTACATTAAAAGTTATAATATGTATAATTTCATGGTTACTTTGTTTATTTATGTGCACAAATACCAAGTGAAACTGTAGAACTAAATTTACTTTAATGTAGAAAACTCACTTCCTCAATTCTCTTCATCTCATTTTCTAAGTCAACTTTTTCTTGATGCTCCTTTTGTCCTTTTTTTCTGATCTAAAAGAAAAGATGAGAGTGTTAAACCTCTTTACACATTTCACACACACACACCACAACATTGTACCTGAATGGATTCCTTAGCCCTCATCAGTACACCTTTGAAAAGTTGTTATGGAACACTTAGGGTCCAACCGGACCTCAACACAAAATTACCATTACAGTAAACTGTGGATTGAAATTCCAAAAACAATTGCATTACAACTTTTATTAGGGTTAGCATGCAGTGTGAACAACATAAAAAAAAAATATTTTAGAGGAAATATGTTGATAAATAAAAATTTACATTGTTCCCATTATACAAGTAAGTAGTATTAAACAATTCCTTATATAAACAGTGTATCAAATAATGCCAGTTTCATTATATTCCTATATTCCAAACATTATCCACTAATATATGATGAGATTACTACAATACTGCAAAATTCAACTCAAAGAACATTGAAAGTGTAATTGTGGGTCACCTTGGGTCCAAACAGACCCCAACACAAATGTATCCTTATAGTAGGCTATGGATTGAAAATCCAATAAGTAGGTTACTTACAACAAATATCAAGCAAGGTTTCTATAAAATAGGGCATTACAAGCAGCCATCACATAGAACACTTGTTGGGGAATGAGATGCATATACATGCTTATCACAATGATGTTATAAGCAAACAGACAAGAAGATACTGTACTACTCTGATGAATTATCCTCTACTACAGCCTATATAGTAAAATAAACATTTAGAAATTTGTTTTGTATGTTATAGGGCGACAACTTGAGCCTTGCTCAATATCAATGACAAGTTGCTGCAAATCATGTTGTACCTGTGACTGTAACACTGTCAAAGCTATCAAAGTGTGAAGCTAATCATATCTATAATCAGAAAAAATGCTATTAAACTTACCACTCATCATGGGCTGATGGAAAGCTATCACTTACTTATGATGACGAGACAGTAGCAAGGTTTTGTATATTGGACATACAAAACATATAGGATCAAACTTGTACAAGTTGACCACTTGCAAATATATCAATATCTTTCAACTTCATATGAATGATAACCACAAGACAGATGAGAAACACAAGAGAAAGGAAGCCATTAGCAGAGCAGCTTCACTGCCAAGGCAGAAAAGTCAGGCATGCCAGGTGCTTGCAAGCATGAACAAGGAAGGTTTGACTGTATATGTCTGAAATTTTGGACAACTCATACACTTTTAAAATACTATAGACCCCTGTTAGACTACCTGTATCTCAATAAGATAAACAAGCTAAAAGGAATTAATGTTGTACAAGGGTCAGCAATAATAATGTGGTGGTAACGTTTACCCACCATGTTCGAGATAGATGATCATAACTTTTTAATAAATATATCTATATGTCTATATCAGTTTGTCATTAAAATTTATTGACTTTATTTGTGCAGTGTAACATCATGCACACTGTGTGGCCTACATTATAGACAAAACTAATATTTGCTTGAAGTAAGCATAATTTTCTTATATAATTAAAGGATTAACCTTACATGTTGAAACAAGAAGAATGAGAATGTAACAAAGAAGTTGTAGAGACAAACTTTATCAGACTGTTGACAGATCGAACAAAGGATGTATCAGTTATAGAACAAGATATGGTGTATTTGAGGGCCTGCAAAGCTGATGCTCATGGGATTTGTAAGTATCAAGATGACCATTTTTGGTATGCAGGCATATTGTGAATTTTCTACCTTCTCATTTTAATATAAAATGTTTCTAAACTTTTGAATTATTCTAAGCTTTTGCAGTTTTGTATTACACAACTGCTGACTTTATTGTTGCTGCTTTTGTTCCTTTGTTGTTCACTACAGTTAAATGTTCTACCTCCAGGGATTATTGTTGCAATGATGTATGCTGCACAAGAATGTAGATTATAGAAGTATCCTTCAATGATAGATCAAATGATATCTCAAGGTTATGGCCTCCCTCCTATGTTGAACGAGAATGACCATGCACATGGGTAGCACTAATCGCTATGGGTAAACCTGAAGTTTCCCATTAAGTAAAAACCATTACATGTAAACAGTACTATTCAGGATCTTAAGTAATGAGAAGATATCTTGAGGGAAGTAAATATTCCAATTCCACTAAAAGGTGACCATCCAGTTTCCAGTGTAAGTACACAAACTGTGTTTTGGGTCTTTGAATAAATGAATATTGTTCTCGTTTTATATTTGACTTTGTGTCTAAGAAATTAAAACTCAGTCATTACATAAATTCAGCATCATTTCATAATTCATCATGCCTGTCCTCCCACTCTAAAAGGGACACATCTAATATTCTTTAATTCTTTCCATATCTTGTTAGTGGATTACACTGACCTTGTAACCACAAAGTAGTCATCAGAGTTTCCATACTATAACTTTTAATATGGTTCGTGTATTTCATGAAATATGGCAAACTGTCAGTAAATATTACAAGTCTTCTGTAAATAGAGCACAACATTTGAGCCCAAGGAATATATGGGATCAGAGTGTTGATTGCTCCAGATTCAAAGTGATTTTCATGTTAAGATTAGAAATACTTTTTTTACCTGAAAATTTCCAAATTTTATTTGTGTAACCACAAAAACCTCTAAAATAAATATAAAATGTTTTTTCTGGTTAAACTTTATATTTTGTTATTTTCTCTACCCAAACTCTAAATAGACTTGGTTGATTAGATAGATCTTGGAACCAATACAAAAAAAATATAAACTAAATCTAAATTACCCTTTTTTTTCTTTCTAGAATAACTGAAAATTGTAACTGGAAACTACAGTTGCTTATCCTAGATAACTTAAAGAACCAGGGATAGAAATAATGAAATGAAATTACATTCACTCTAGGGAAAGCTATCAGGAAGATTATAATCATGCAAAGTTGCATTTCTTCACGATTCGTTTTGTTTTATTTAATCCATGCAACATCTTCACTTTCACTGGTCATAACTAATGGAATATGGATGGACCATGCATTCCAAACGGGAAAGCCAACTAAAAAGATAAAATTCCTCAGGAATGCGAAAATGTAATATTTCGATCCATGGGCACATAACAGTTTTTCATCTGTTTCTACTTAATTTTATTCTTTTAATGCTCTATAAACTGTTTTATTAATAATCCTGCAATAAAAGTTGCAAACACATAGCTTAAGTTTCTGTACTGAATGATGTAATGATGAGCTACTAGCAAGCACACCTCATGAAGAATAATTATTTTTCATTAATTTACCTAATCTAACCTAGTATTTAATGTAATTACTTTATTACAATAAATAAAAACTTACATGAAAAACAAAGAATATAGTACTAACGTTTGATGTCTTATGTTTTTGCTGTCAGCTGCCAATGAAATTTAAGCCTACTTTTTTTGCAATGGTGGTACTAATACATTAAATAATTCTTATTTATTCAAAGAATGCACCTAAGAACACAGAATAATAACAAGCACAAAGAAAACAATGTTCTATAACTATTATAATTTAACTGTGTCTCTAAGTAAGGTATAAGAGCCTTATCATAATTCCCTAAACTGCTTGATGTGAATAATGCCAGATAAACTTTCAAACTGAAGATGAAAGTGACAATACTCTGTACTGAAAACAACATAACATTATACATCATTTGACAGATTAAACTTTATCTTTCTGTTGGTTATACATGATATAAAATATCAGAGAAGATTATAGGTAATTTATTGAAGAGAGGATTTGACAAATGGGCATGGAAAGTTGGTCTGACTTTCTATATTAAGTGTCTGTAAACAACGAAGATTGAAGGCAATATCTTTATTTTAATGAGTAATTTACATTAAAACTCTGTACTTCAGAGAGTGGCGGTAAATAAATTATAGTATGTGCAAGACCTAGAGAATAGATGTCATGATTCTCATACAAGAGGAAATTAAGAATTTGTTTAAATAATTCCTTTTAAAATTATAATATTACAATTTGATTTACTAACTACATTTTGATGCCAGGTTTATTCATATAGATTGATAGTATAATTAAATTTTGAATCCAAGTCTTGTGACATGCACTTTCACCTACCCATAGCAAGAGGATTAAGCAAATCAATTTAACCTAAAAACACTACACAGTAGATAAGAAGAAACTTTGGTGCAGATACCACAGAATTTTACTGCGGAGTTTTTGTTTTAGCTAACAAACTTATTACCCTTACTTGAACTCTTGAGTTATACGAATTAAAAGGAAAGAATCTCACTGAAAGAATGGTATTTTTACATGTGAAGGTACACACGACTGAGAAGGAGAGTTTGCTACTGAGAAAAGAAAGTTGTATGAAAGACAGAGAGACTATGATAAGTCCTCTCCTGAACATATTACTTTTGGTAATGTTGTAAATGTCTCTGAAGTGGACTTCTCTTCAAATGCAGACTTATGAAGATCAGATGACATCAGGTGCACCCAAATCAGGCACTGCCCCCTGAGAATTGAGTGGGAACCAATGAGAAAAGATCATGAACCTTAAGACATTCTTGAGCCTCACTGAGCTGAGAGGTATCTGACCAGGGATCTTAAGGAAACCTGGGATCACACAACTTCAGAACGAGCTCTTAAAAGCAGCTCATTGCTCTGCCATCCTGAACCAGGAACTGACTACTTTTCTAATAGTGTATCTAAGTAATCTTCATCACTTTAGAAATATTATCATCCAAGAACCTGCTATAGTGATGCTCTGATCAACACCACAGGTCCCTAGGAGAGAAGCTAAGTAGATTTTGCCCCCAATGTTCAAAGTTGTAGCAAAGGAAAATGTAGACCATTTTCTGAAGTATTTCAGGCAGGTAACTTTAGATGATGTTGATGCTCCAGTGCAGGTATATCCACAAAAAGAAAGCAAATTCCTACTGGACACTGACAACAAATAATGGAAGTGGAGCTGTGTTATTGCAGTTTCACAAATAATGGAATTGGGGCTGTGTTATTGCAGTTGCACAACAGAATAGAAAGTAAAATCACATACAGTCATGGCTTCTG